TAAACTCAAAACTGTTTACAGATGCTAATAATACTAATATGCAATGAGCAAAGATATTTTACCCTACCTGATTCTGAAATTGAAATCTGATTGAAAAGAAAATTGATTCTAAGACTCCAGCAATTAGATATCAAGATTGTTTCCATAATTAAACTATTAGTTCCATAATAGTTAATTTTTATTAAAAAAATCTGCATATTTTGAAAATCATTAGACTACAAAAGAGAGATTTGGCCATTTAGAAGATAACTACATCACTAGGGAAAAAAAAGGTAAATAAAAAATTGTTTTACATCAAACACACACTATTCACCCTGAGACATGCAAAGTAGACCATCCTGTTATTTATGTAAATATGCAATAATAATTTTTCTTTGTAGCATATACTTTAAAAATACATTTGTAATAAACTAAGTTAAGCACAGAATTAGACATACAGGTGCAGGCTGAGGTATAGTTGAGATGCACTAACTGCACAGTTACACCTAATTTTGAGGAATAACAATCCGGGGGGGGGGAGTCTGATGGTCTCCCACCCCACTTCCAACCTTTCGCAAGGAGAATTAGATGTACTACTAGCATTACATTAAATTTTCCTTGAATCACATACCATAAAGCAATAGTGTATATATTTTTTCAAAGCTGGGTTTTTACCAGGAGACTAGTTTAATATGTCTACAGCAGTTGTGTCCAATCCATGTATCGTGGGTGCCTGATAGCCAACAATTCTATCTTTAGAAGCCTGCCAACCACAATCACAATAGTGCCATGACACAAAAATTTTACTCTAATTTTAATGTAAAAAACAAGTATAAAATGATACAATTACACATCACGTACTGAGGTGTAGCATTTGTGTTCACATAGTTTTATGTCTACATAGTACTCGGTACTATGTAGACATAAAACTCTATCAATGAAATCTTCTGTGAAAGCTCAACAAAGCAATCTTTTTACCCTCAATAATGAAGCAAAGAATCACACAAAGGTATCTTTTAAAGTAAGTTACATTCTTGCATGTCATAAAAAGGCATATTCGAATGAGGCCATTGTGAAAGAAGATATGCTGTCAATGTCATAGCCTTTATTTCACAAATTTAAAATCAAAAATGAAATAATCTCAACTATAAAAGATCTGTCTCTGTCACAAAACATGGTGACACAATGAATAGACAATATGGCGAAAAAATATCTAAGCACAGATAAGATCCTGTTTGGAAATATGTGCGTACTTTTTCCAGTAGTTTGATGAATCCACTGATGTTACTGATTCACCACAATATCTGATGTTCACATGAATGGTGTTTCCTGGCATCTCCATGAAAGAAGCATTATTAACCACTAGCAGCTTCGCTGCCAGCCTTTGTCTGGCTTTTGAATGTACTGGAAAAATGGCTGAAGGGAACACCAAACGTTAAATTTAAAAACTGCGTAGAATTTTACTTTGCAGAACAACTTCATAAAAAAAAGTTATTACGTATAAAAAATTTACAATGAAATAAGCAATATCCCTTAATACAAATAATATAGAATTTTACTCTGCAGAACAACTTCATAAAAAAAAAGTTATTACGTATAAAAAAATTACAATGCAATAAGCAATATCCCTTAATACCAATATTAATTACCCTAATAAATAAATTAATCAACTTCCCTTTGCAAAATCTTAAGAACTCAAATGGTATAAAGGAGGTTAAGAATTTTATTTCCTAAAAAAATCACTCAAAACTTTTCAATATCTTAAAAACAGTGAAATGAGCAATAAATAACATAAAAGAATACAAAAAAAAATTCTGAAAAGCAAAGTATAATTAATGATATTTTATCTTATATTTTCAAGAGAAAAAAAATTACAATGAAATAAGCTATATCCCTTAAAACAAATATTAATTATCCTAATAAAAAAATTAACCAACTTTCCGTTGAAGAAAAAAAGATCATGCAAAACTTTTCAATATCTTACAAACAGTGAAATAAGCAAAAAAAATAACATGAAAGCTACTCAAAAAAGATAAAATTCTGCGCAGAATTTTACTCTGAAGAACAACTTTATCAAAAAAAAAATCAATAAAAATGTATTATATATACATATAAATGACAATGAAATATGCCAATCTCTTAAAAACAGTGAAATACATGCAACAATTGCATCGATTTCTTACGTTACGTTTTTGCACATTTCTTACGTCGCGTTTTTGCTCAATTGCAAAATTGTTGCCAAACCCATATTTCTAAAAGAATGAAATTATTCAAAATGATAGGATTTCATCAGAAATCTATCAACAACAATACGACAGGAAAATTGTTGCCAAAATCACATTTTTAAAGATGTGAGATGTGAGAAATGGACTCGGAAGCTTCATTTAAAAAATTTTTTTAAAATACAAAATATTATCATTTTTCCAAAATTCTTTTTGTAAAAGCAGTCGCAAGGATAAAAGTTTAAAGTGTCCAAAAATCAAAGAAAAAAAAACTTTTTTAGAAAAAATCCCATTGAAAAGGTGTTAAGCTTCCTTTGTTAAATAAATTCGTATTTAATCGATTTATTGAAACATGAAATTTATTTTAAGTTCGTAAAATAGCTAAGTGCCTACGTTTCATGGCGATGTGAAAATGGAGTGTGTAGAGTAAAATCTCGCTTTACTATAGCCCATTATGTCTCAAAATGTCGAGATTTCGTCACAAAACATAAAATAAAAAAAATTCTATTTCGAATTTCGAAAAAATCGCTTTGAGGTGCACTGGCTCTTGTCTAGATGCACCTATGTACCAAATTTCGTAGTCGTGGGTCTATTAGCTTATGCGCAGCACGAACGAAAGACACACACACACAGACAGACTCTTTCTTTTATTATATGTAGAGATGTTCACATCGGCAAAACACACTGGAGGGCAAGACATATAGGAGTGGAGTTAAAAATTATATTACTGGAGAAAATAGGCTAATAAAAAAAACTCTTCATAATCACAATTGATGGTGCATTAGCTGTGATTGGGAATAATACAGGGTTTGTCAGCTTTTTATAAGCAGGATTACACATTTTCCAAATTTAAATTTTACCACTGCATCATTTACCAAGGAAATTTGGAGGCTAAAAGCTCAATCTAAGGAGTAAGGTGGCTGACTCAAAATAAAGTTTAACAAGGTCTGTTGGAATGCTAAAACATTTCTGATGCCCAAAGACAACAACTACTACCAAAATTTGGATTACATGGAGTGGCTTGCTGATTTGCCATTTTTAACCAATATTACTGTAAAACTCAATGACCAAAATACCACAATACAAGAAAAAGGAAAATACACATCGAAAATGATGAGCTCAATATCGACTTTTCTGGTTAAAATCAATTTCTGGAAGAATAACTTATTGAACAAAGACTACCAACATTTTCTGTCATTTACTCAGTATTTATTCTGGAGTATGATCAATTTAAGCATGTTAAAAACCTTTTGTTACTTAGCTCAGAATTTAAAGAAGGATTGAAGACATGTTTTTTGTGGAGCTCATTTTACTGTTCACACAAAATCATTTTTTGGAATTAGACATAATTGACTTTGTCAATGGAAAAGTTTCGTTTTCTTAACAAATTGGAGGCTGAATTATAGATAATTATTCTTTGTACTCATATAATACTTAAAGCACAGAAAATAAATTTGATGAGGTTTTTAAATTAAAGGATCCTATTAAATACAAAAACACACAAAGGTGTGCACAACAGCAAAAGCAGTTTTTAGGTTAACATAGCTCATTGAGAAGGTTTCTTCACAAGTTAAAATAATAAAAAGCAATGGTGACTTTAAAGCACATGAAAAACAACATGGTGCTGGCATGCTGTATATCAGAATGTACACTATAATTTAATAAGTTGCCAAAGAATATTAATAATCAAATATCTCATTAATAGCAAGGTAATGACTTAATGCAGCATTCCCTCAATGCGATATTTGAGAATTTAGCTGATACATTTTCTTGTATTTAGTCATTTGTATATGCTTTTATTTATTTTCTAATTTGAAATAAAATTAGTTTGCCACAATAAATTTTTATTTTATTAGTGGATTTTCTTCAGTTTTTGTAGGTTCTTACTAATTTTCCTTATTATTTGAAAACATAAAATCACATATTTTCATGAAATTGTTATTTTTCCAAATGATAAAACACCAAGCGCCTGTGAGTCAAGAAAATACTGAACCAAATATGTATGCTACTCAGAACTTTTTGATATTGTCAGTATTTTCAGCAAATTCAGTCCTGAGCTTTTCAGAATTAGTTATAAAAGCATATATTCACTCTGGAATGTCTCTAGACTGATTCACTGATTTAATAATATCTATACAGCATGAAATCACATTTACAGTTAATACACATGAATTCAAAATTTCACTGAGGCGAAAGCTCCTAAAATTAATTTTTGTACTTCCAATGTAGCAATTTTCTTCTTATACATATACTTGTAATATGTATGAAAATGTATTAGTGTTAATTAACAAAATTTGTTTATAATTTCACAATGATATTTTTTACATAAATATTCACACATGTATATGAAACTGTGTTACTAAGTGACAGACACTGTATAGAAGTACTTATATTCCTTTACCTAAAGGTGTCAGATATTGTGCCAACCCTGTGTATTTCACATTTTTTTTAAAAATTTAAATGAAATGAAAATCATGTTTGAAGTGCATGTAATACTTTAAAATATTAAAAGTCAAGGAACTATTCTTCTACTACAGTTGTCGCTTATATATTATTTACTTATTACACAATATTTTACTATTACATATAATTATGATTTTAAAGTACAAAAGAAAGTTTTTATAGCAATATTTATACATCATTTAGATTCAAGAATTATTTCAACACTATTTCAAAATTGAAATGAATAATATTGAGATCAATAAAAATTCATAAGGCTTTCATGCATAAAGGAATGAATAGCTACAAAAATTAGTAGTATAAAGATATAATTATAAGATACTTTAACTACTTAAATACCTGCTTCTCAAGAAGTTCCAGCCTCTCTTTTGCCTGACTTTTAAATTCAACACCTTTAGCTCCATAAATTTGCTCAGCAATTACTTTTATCTTATCTTCAAGAGAAGCCTTTAAAAAGAAAATAAGTAGTGAATATTAAATATAGAGAATTATAGAAATTGCGCGATTTATAAAACTGGAACATTCTGACTAAATTTCTGTAGCATTTATATTATCTAGATATTTAAGTGCTAAGCTGTTGCTTTCAAATTAATTATGTTTAATGATATTAACTTTTCATCAGTTAAAAATTTGAAATTGGAAGCTACTTCATTTAATTTTTCATATTTCTACTTCATTTAGGAAATTAAAACATCTAAAAATTAAGTTTTCTTATTAAATGATATCTAACAATCAGATTTTTTTTCATTTTTGTTCACATTCTGGCAATATGTTTATGTCTAAAGCTAAACTTGTATGTTTGTAATAAAACTGTACATTTTTGAAGATAGCTGTACATTTTTGAAGAATACATGCAGAAAAGTTCCTCTCTTAGCTAATGTAAAGAAAGATATAATTCAACTATTAATCAAGCGATTTTGTGGACATTTATGCATAATTTAATTGCAAGATTTATTTATATGCAGTATTACATTCTAAGCTGATAACACATAAAATTCAAAATTTGTTTGCTTGAAAATGCTATTATTTTCATTCCACTGCAAAGATTTATCATTTGATGATAGATCTTTTATTAATCAATGTATTTAGGTTATATTGACCTATAATAGAAAATATACCATAATTTATTATGAGTTAAGGTTTCATTGTATAAAATTTTCAACAATTTGCTGCAACAAAAAATTTAATAATCTTCTGCAATGAAATGTAGACAACTGCATCACTATCCATGCTTAGTTTGTAACTCTGGAAAGATTGCTATGGCGAAATAAACACTATAATTCAAATTAAAGGAAGGTAGCAAAGAATTACTAATGTCAGCAATGTGGTGTTTAATGAATAAGTTTAGTCAATGGAGCTCATTACAACAAGCATACATTAAACCTCAGTATGTTAGGTTTAACAATAAATTTTAATGTTAGAAAATGATATACAGTTGTACTTTGAAACTTATGCATGTTTGAAAATAAATTAATGTTACTAATTCATCTCTTAATTTTGTCTGTGCTGTTAAAAAGCAGTTCAAACTTCACAGTAAAAAATGTATCAAAAAAACCTGCTTGATGTAAGGCAATAAAATAATTTAAGCTAATTTACATATTTAAATAATTTGTTGCAAATTGCATAAAAGAAATAATTAAGGGAGTGAAGACTTAAGAAAATGGATGTTGCCTTACTTTCGTGTTTTTCCTTCAAGAGAGTAGAAATCAAGAGTAGTGAAGTAAATTATTCACAAAAGCAGAGCTTTATAATAACAAACGAATAATTTCTGAGAAAAAATCCAGAAATTTTAATCAATAGTAACAATGTGATTTACATAAATAAATTAAATTAATAAAAACTTGAAGGTTTTTCTTTCAAAAACAACTCCACTAAACAACTCCACTAAAACACGGCCAAAACTTTTTGCTTTATGAAAAAAAAAAAAAAAAAAAAAATTAAGAGCATAATAATTTTATATTAAATGAAAAATTATGATGGAAAAATTCAAAAAACTTTAAAAATGCTTTTTTAAAATCCTAAATTTTGAATAGATTAATGTTTGCATATATGGATTTGTAATGACAAGATGGATAATTTTACAATAACAGTCTTCAAACAATGTTGACTCAGAAACGCATAGAAACTATAATTATCTTTATGGAACACCCACCATCTTAAAAATAGTAAATATTAAAAAGCATTGAAAATATATCAAATACTGTGAGCATAATTTATATGGAAAATGAAAAAAATTCTTACTTCATTATAATTTTACAAACATACTGTTTTACACAGCTACAATAACAGAGATGAATTATTTTAGGTATTTATTCTTATGGTTGGTTCATCATGGCAACATTATTTATTATTATTATTATTTCATATCTTGAGTTTGACTTGTAAAACCCTAAGACTCCACAGAACATAGTTTGAAGACCAATGATCTGCAAGGAACAGCCATACACTAGCAATAATTTTCACAAAAGATTTTTGTATTCTTTTGGTAAAAAACTTCTCTAGTTATCTGCTGACGTTTGAGTGGTTTTTCAAATTAAAGCTAACTTAATGGTTTTCCAAGAGGAAGAAATGTTTTCAAGCATTTATGACCATTTTACATACCTGCTAATAGTGTTAGATATGCATTCAAAAATAGAAATACCTTTGAACCCTTAAAAGAGTACAAATCATAACATGGATTAATTAAATACTTAACATTAACATGCTTGATACATCCAGAAGCCTCAAGATATTTTATGCTTTAATCCAGGGATGGGCAATGTTCGGCCCGCCGGAAGTTCCTATCTGGCCCGCGGATAGAATTTTAATTTGCTGGTAAAAGGCAAATTAAAAGAAGTATATATTTATATATTATATATCTGTCTCCTTTTCTACTTTGTTTAAATATTTTTCCCTTTCTTTTTCTCAAAGGACTGATGATTTTTTACTTTCTCTATTTTTGTTCTACAAAACATAAATCTACAGAAATTGCAAGTACAGACAGCTTTCAATCGGTAAAGTGTTAAAGAGAAGTTCTTTGTTAGTTATAGCTGTAGATTGGCGTCAACAAGCGTTATCTCTTTTTCGAGCAGACATATGGGAATCCAATATAGGTGAATTAGACCTCTTAGAAAATACTTAATCTTAACTTAAAACTTAATAAAACTAAATCTGTTGTGCATCTAGCTAAGAACGACTTGTCTCATTTCCCGAGGTTAAATTCAATACCCTCAGTAAATGAAGAGAAGCTTAAGAATTATGAAGATAGCTTGAAAAAACTGCATTTTGTGTTCGAACACAGATTTCAGTGCCACTCAAACAGAACTGGATATTTTTACCGTGGCTTTTAATGTAAATTGTGAAGCAGTGAGGTCATATTTGCAGCTTGAATTAATTGATTTGCAATTTAACAATCATCTCAAGCAATATTCTAAATATGCCAAAGTTTGAGTTTTACAAATCATTATCAAAAGTAAGCTTCCCAAATTTAATATCTCACTCCCAAAAAATCTTTGCTATGTATGCTTCACTTATATATGTGAACAAGTGTTCTCAACTATAAACCTCAGAAAGAATTACTTCAGAAGTAGACTGACAAATGAGCATTTAGCCTTGTTCCTTAGAATCAGTACATCTCACTTCGAACCTCAATATAAGGAACTTTTAAAAATGAAATCGCAATTTCATTCATCTCATTAACATATTTAACTTGTAATATTTGTATATTGTTTTTAAAATTTTAGAAAATCTTTTTTCTTTCGATTTTTGGCCCACGACCGAAAAAGGTTTGCCCATCCCTGCTTTAATCAATACCATATCAATTTCAACATTCCACACTTTAATAAATGATTGAAATTTGATGCTTGAGTGAATGATTTAAAACTTTAGCTAAAATCTTTAATTGAAGGTTTCTAGATAACTTTTGCAGGTGGGGGAAAAAAAAAAGAGTTTCTTTTCTACCAAATACATAGATTAATGTTTGTGATTTTATTGTCACTTATTCTCAAATTTAATGTGTCAGAAATAACCTCTCTTTAAATAAATTTTCAAAATTAGCATGGGTACTGGGTCCTTTGGCTTGTAGCTTTGAAGAAATAAAGAAGCATGGTACCTATAATGGCAAACAATGTTATATAATGCATGTGAAGACAAATATTGAAAAATTAGACTTTTCCAGGAAGAACCAACTGGTAACATATTACATTTAAAATTGCTTCTAAGTTAGATTTTGAAAATGAATATTATAATTATCCACAATACCATCAGAACTGAAAAATTGAAAGAGAGATAATAATAAAAATACTGCAATAGGAACGTGTTTGATGATGGTATAAACTATCATTGCTAAGATACCTGTTCCCAAACATAAGAAGTAATAATTTTACAAAAATATATGACGCATCAGTAAATTGTGCGATACCTTAATATTTAACATGCAATAACAATAGTGTACAAAACTATTTATAATTAAAATGTTAACAATAACAGAAACAAATATAAACAGCTAGTAGACAGAGCAACAACTATTCTACAAGCTACTGTTAATTTTAAAATGATTAACAACACATTCTAAACATTGAATAAGGAATTGTAAATAAAAATTAAAATTAAAATTTTTAAGTGTTTTAACTATTTAATACTTTAATGATAATCAAGAAAATTTCTCACTTTCAAATCATATAAGAAATGAAATTTAGATGGCTCATCACAAGCAGCTATGACTGCCTCAGCTAATTCTTTAGCTCCTTTGCTACCTTCAGAAAAGTGACTACAGATAACACACCGAAAAGCTCCACTCTTTTCAGAAAGTTCTTTCACAAGGTTTAATTCAGCATCAGTATCATTGCTAAAAAAATAAAGTGTACTAATAACTTAAACAGATAAACTAAATTAAAATAAAATATGGAAGACACCGCTTAATTTGGCAGTATACAAAAATGCACTTTAAGGTTACATGGTTTTCTTTGTTAATAACCTAATAAATAAGAAATGCACACAAGTACACATTTAAATCCTGAAAGGTGGCACATAAAATGAAAATAAAATTACAAACAAATAAATAAATTACTTATTTAGGGTAAAGAGACCAGATTTTTCTGAAACCAATCAGACACAAAACAATTTCAAAAACTTGAAGAAAACTGAAACACATTATTATTTCAACCAGGAGTATTAATTAATCCAGAATCCAAAGTCCAACCAGGAGTGATTTTTTTTCCAAATGCTCATATCATATTACAGTGAAACTACTCAAGCAGATTCTACAATTCTAAACAACTTCTGTCTCTTACACACAGAATATGACTATCAGTGACGTTAAGTCCAAATGTTTATTTATGTTTTCAAAAATACTATCTACTTTTAATGGTGGTGCCACAAAAGTTTAACTGTATTTAATTACTGGAATAAATTCTGTGTTGCTACAAATGTTTCCAGGAAATGAAATTTAGTTGTTAATGTTACAGGTTTGAAAGAAACATGATTGTCTTGATTATGGGAAAAAGCTCATTCTTTTTTGCTTAGAAGATCAGAGTTTTATATCCAAGACAATTGTTTAATGTTTCGGATTTTCATTTCTTTCTGCATAAAATATTTCACTAAATAATTTGTTATGAGATATTTTCATACAAAGTATTTTTTGTAAGTTCAATTCTGTACTGTGTTTACAATCTCTAATACTGTCAAAAGTTGATACATTTAAAATTTTTTGCATGATTTAGTTTCATTTTTAATTTTTTAAATACAAAATGCAGTTGAAATAGAAATTAATAATTTTTTCACATCATGAATTCCAATAAACTATGCTAAAAAGGAACAATCATTTGATTATTAAATACATTTCTAATTCCATAAAAATATTTTCATTACCACATAGAATAATATTAACAAAATTCATGTCAAGTATATTTACAAAATACAAGAAAATTTCTGGGACATATCCTGAACTAGGACACTGTACTGAAATGTAAGATTGTCTTGTAGTTCTGATCACTTTAAACTAGAGGAAATTTAAAAAGAAGTGGAAACATTAATGAAATGGAAGGTCCACCTCACTCAAACTGTTTTAGGCCCATCACCTTAAGACATAGGTTATTTTTATTACTAAAAATAGATAAATAAATAAATAATTAATTAATGACTTAGGGACATTTGAAGCATGGGACCCCTTATGATATTAACTTAGGTGACTGACCTCATTAATTTGCTTCACTTTGGGAAGACTTTATACTAAAAAACATAGGAGAAAACCATAGATATACTTATGTAATCAGCCACAGGTGACTGAAAAAAATCATAATTAATAATGCTCCACAACTTCAATAAATTTTTCAAACTTAATTACCTGATTGATTTGAAACTAGGAAGAATTCACTTAATGCAAAAAATTATTAAGAATTCTAAAACTGAAGTTTTTGAGTGACAGAAGAAAAATAGGTTACACATTCACAAAATTAAGATAAATCACATAAATGTTTTTGTAATTTTAATTCTTCAATATATTGAACTTTTCCAGTTCTTCCGCATTTTGTGCATTAAATTATTTGTTCTTTACAGCTTGCTTTCCTGATATAATGAGTTTTTAGTAGCTGTCACTACTAGATAGAACTATCAAGAAAAATGTTTTGCACACCAGAAATGGTATCTTCTCATTAGAGGACCATATAATATTCCTCCATTAAAAATTATACCACTAATAATCTTCTTTTCAACTATTAGTTGCAAATTGCATTGTTTAACTTTAAAGAAATTAAACATTTGAAAAAGCATAGCCAATAGCAAAAAAGTAGCTCAGATGGCACTCATTGATCACAAGAGACAATTTAAAACTAAGAAATCCAAAATAGCAGATACAGTTAATATCATATCTAATTAATTTTGAAGTCAAGCACCAAAAATCAGCATTATATTTTCAAATTTTTACAGGACTGTGAAAATTTGAAAATATAATGCTGATTTTTGTTGTTTGCTTCTAAATTAATATTTGTTTGGCATATTTTTGTATCTTAATTATATCTAATGTTGAGAGATGCATATTAGGTGCATGAGAATATAATATACTTCTATTCTTATATACAGTATTATAGCTCCTGTACTTATATATAGTGTAGCAAATTTTTTTATATGAAGTTAAATCTAGTAAAAATATACAAATTATGTTTAATTCCCACCTTTAATAATATATATTGTTGTATAATAACTATAACTATTTTAATTTATTTTATTGCATTGTTGTTTACTTACTTATTTATTTGTTTTGTATTTATTGGCCACACCTATTTTTACATAACTGCTGTTCCTCATATGTAATCCTTGATTTTATTGTTCTGAGAATGGTAATGTTCAGAATGTAAAAATAGCTTCCATTGCTGAATATCTTTTCCAAAATTTCCAGAAGCTTGTCCTACATCAGACTCATGCCTAATGTCTATATAAATGGAGCCAAGAGATTGATTATTGCTGATGTTTTAGTTGTTATTCTGCTGCAAGACTTAGCTGAATTGTTAATTTACTCTACTAGTAATCTTGGCAATTGTCAATATTTCTCACAGGATAAATCATCTATATCTGGATTCAGCTTAAGCTGCTTGACATTGTATACTATATTGTTTATAACTGAAATTTGTAATAAATTGTTAGTTTCTGTGTATATGGAGTAATCCTTCAGAGAGAGATATAAAAGAAACGATAGCCTGCAATAACTGGGGTCGCATTTTAAATCTCTGAATAATGACAACAAGACGGATGAAATATTAATTAAAAATCAGCTAGGAAATGATTACTGGCAGCAGATAAAAAGTAATTTCAAATGCCACTAAAACGTGGTAAAAAGTAGTGGCAAATGTTATTGAGATGAAGAACCCCCATCACAGTAACTACCATAGAGATGAAGGAGAGCATTGCCAATGTGGAAAATAAAATCTTGAATGTTGCGATCTGAAATTAGCCACCACAGGGGAAAGAAACTGCTGAAGAGTTAAAGACTGTAAATTAAGAAATCATCAGTGTCAATAAAAGAACTTCTGCAGTGAATGACATACATGAAAAGGAAATTTCTAGAACTGGCTTCATCTATAAAACAATGACTCAGCTCTGGCAGCTTTGAACAACAACTTGATTCCCATATCTTGTCCCACAAATATTCAGGAGCACCCTGCCACAAAGCCTTAAATTTCAATTTGGTTTCATCCTTAAAACAGAAGATACTGCTGTCATCTTAGAGACACTTCTAAGTGAAAAATGTTCAGAATTAATACATTAGATCTGACGTTCAGAGAAACATTTCTTGAAGACTATTAATGACTGCAGCTCAAACTTTACAACAGGAGGCAGGAGATACTCTTCTCAAGAACTGGAGACTGACACTGAACAATTAATGCAACTGGTATTTCCAGATTATGAGTGGAAACTAAAGACACACTGAATTATTAATATTTTGTGGATACTTTTAAGGATACCAGCACATACATGCACTCCAGATAACAGATAATAAAGATCTGGAGAATGTTCTAGTGCATGCCATGAAAGTGGAGATCAAGATAATCAGCTTGTAAGGAATGTCAACAGTATGGACAACACAGTGCTGAAAGCAGTGATGGCTATGTCACAAAGACTGCGATTTCGCTTTGCATGCTTTTATTCTTTTTGACATAATAAGATAACAGTAATAAAAATAACATTAATAAAAAAAGTAATAAAAATAAAGTGAAATGATTCAATTATAAGGCAGAACGTTATTTAATGACAATGCTATACATCTTTAGCTCAAAAGACTACAAGAAGTTGTAGTAACTGAATAAAGTGCTGGAACTGTGGTAATGAGACACATCTAGGAAGACAGTGTGTAAAGAATTATGTAAAGTGTTATGAAAGAGCAGAATTTACTGCCAGCAGAAAACCCACCTGTCAATGTTTTGAAGATAGTCATTAGTTCATTGTAGAAATCACAGATTCAATATTGAAATAAATAGATCTCCTTTCCAAAATTAGTAGACATAGAGTGAATGTGATTATTATGCCAGCTTATATAGCCTGCTGCTTCAAAGGGCCCTTATACATATGGTTCTGTTCTTAAATCTGCAAACTGTGAATGCAGAGAAAACATCGTATGGAAATAGAAATGCACATACCAAGTTTGAATCCTGCATATATGAGTACACAGTCTAAATGGCTAATACCAGGTATCCTCAGACTTGACCTTTTAAAGAAATATGGATTTAGTTTAGAAGCCAAAAATAATGAACTGTGCATCTCTAATGAAGAAATTCCACTGTTTGGAGTGGAAGAAAATAAAGTGAGCTGCTCTAAGATAATTGCTCACAAGAATATTATTATTGCTCCTAGAATGGAATGCATTATCAGCAGTACTGTGGAAAACTCTGAGAAGCTATGCATGGGAATTAAAATTTCTTTAAGAAAATACACATTCAAAGACAATTTTAACTGCAGTTGCTCTACTGAGCTTTACAAAAGAAAATGCATCAATCAGGGTTGTAAACACAAATATTGGGGCCATGTACTTTCATAAAGAAGAGGACATAGTTTCATATTCCCCTGTAATAAGTATTGGATGAAGTTCTGTCTATCAGAAGCCCTGTTCACTTTAATTAAAATATTTATTTGCAACTATAACATGAAATGCTATTCAAATTAAAGCTATAAATAATAACTCAACAGAAAAAGTTAAAAGATTTCTTCTCAGTTTCATCTAATGATGTTGGTCATATGAAGGTGACACAACACCTGATCGATACTGGAAGCTATTCATCTACCAAGGAACTACCTTGGGATCTCCTTTTCAAAAAATAAGAGGAAGTCATAAAAAAAAGATAGTCAGCTCTAAAGGAGATCCAAGACAATGATATTATATAACCTTCATATAACTCTTGAACATCACTGTCTTAGTTAGGAAGAAAGATAGTTCTACATGATTATATTGAAGACTGGTCAAGAACTCTGGCATTTTAAAGTAATGCCTTATGGACTGTGCAGTACTCCAGTAACTTCTCAACACCTAATGGGGATAGTTTTGAAAGGACTGTCATATGCTTGTTTTGTACATCTCAACAAAACTACTACTTGTATTATAATTAGATGCACTTTTAAGGAATATTTGGAAAATAGCAGAATAACACTATAGAAGCTCAGAGAAGCCAAATTAAAACTCAGTACTTCGAAGTGTAAATTATTTTGACAAGAAGTTAACTATTTTGGTCATATTATCTCTAATGAAGTTGCATCCACAGATCCTGAAAAAATTAAAGCCATTCATGACTGGTGTTGCCCTCAAAACATTCATTAGTTAAAGAGCTATTGGTCTCAGCATTTCCTACAAAAGATTTCTCAAAAGCATCTCTAAAATCGTAAGGCCTTTACACTACATCACAGAAGCAAAGCAAAAGTATTTGTGTAGTTAACCCTCAAGCTGAATACAACTTATTTCTGAATGCAGACACAAGCAACGAAAGAACTGGAGCTGTTCTTTCACAAGAAATTAATAGCCAAGAACATATTATTGGCTATTTCAGTAGAAACCTTTCAGAGTCAGAAAGAAATTACTGTAGGATTTCCTTCGCTTGGAAGACGAAGTTCTCTACCACAAACAGAATTTGATGATGGAAAAATTTTTAGATGGCAGCTCATTTTACCAAGAGCTTCATAGTAGCCCTATCGCAAGTCATTTTGATGTAGTAAGCACATTCCATAAAGTTTGAATTTATTTCCTCTGGAATAAGGCCAAAGCAGATGTAGAACAATAGTGCAAATCCTGTAACATGTGCTGCTCAAAAATACCCTCATGCATGTACATGAGGAAGACTACAACACTACAGTGTAGGAACTCCATTTGAAAGGATTGCTCTACACATTCTTTGGTCTTTAGCTGTATATCTAAGAGCAAAAAGTAAATCCTAAGTGTCATGGATTATTTCAGTAAATGGTCCAAAGCTTATGTCATCCCTGATTAAGTAGCTTCAATCAGAGCAGAAGTCAATACAAAACTGGATTTTGTGATTTGGAATGTCTCTTTTTATTCACTCCAAATCACAAAATACCAAAGAACAAATTTCAGGTCTGCCATATTTAAAAGACTATCTAGAATTAATGGGCTGGAAAAGTCTGAAACCAGTCCTTTACATCCATAGTCGGATGGCATGGTGGAGAAATTTAATCACACAATATTGCACCATTTCTCTCTATCTCTATCCTTATCCCAGAAAGAGCAAGACTAGCTCTGGGATAATTATTGCCATTATTTATGGTAGGAAACATGTCCAAATTGCCATTATTTCTACTAGCGTACATAATTAGATGCACTTTTAAGGAATATTTGGAAAATAGCAGAATAACACTATAGAAGCTCAGAGAAGCCAAATTAAAACTCAGTACTTCGAACATAAGTGCTATTCATGACAGCATTGTATTTTCTCTTTTACAAATGATTTTTGACTGTGATCTTCGTCTGCTGCACAATCTGCTCTTCATACGCCTGCTGGCCACATGTCTTTTAAGCAGTAACTGAAGGATCTGCAGATGCAGTTAGAATATTAATTTGGCAGTTAGTTTATTGATTCGCGAGAATAAGGACCAACATAGGGGTTGATACATGAAGCGGAAAGATGATGATGAAGATAGAAGAAGAAATAGAGGAAACAGAGGATGAAGAGCAAATATGATGCCAAGTCCGCAGATAAGAAATTCAAGGAAGGAGACCTAGTCCAGTTGTGAAACCCTAACAAACATTTAGGGATCCCGACCAAACTATAGACAACCTGAGAAAGACACTTCTGTGAGATCAAGAAGCTGTATGACATAGTGGTGCATATCCAAAGAACTCCTTTTACTAAACCTAAAGTACTGCCATACCATATACCTTATTATGGTAATGAGGATTATTTGTCCCTGATCTTGAGGATTGCACTGCCTGGGACCTATAGCTCTTAAGGAGGGGGTCATGTTGTCTATATCTGTAAGTGCTTAAATTCTTTTTATTACATTGTTATATTAATACTTACTTATTTATTTTTGTATTTGTGGCCACATATATTTTTATTATAAGTATTGTTTCTTACATGGATTTTTTGATTTTGTTTCTCTGAGAATGGCAACATTCAAAATGCAGATGAAAAAAAAAGCTTAAGTGAAACACAAGATACACTCAATTGAGCCGTCCAACAGATCTTTTCTGAAATTTCCACAAGAGCTTGTACAACAGCTGGCCTATGTTTGTGTTAATATAAATGCAGTCAAGAGAGCTGTGAGAATTACTGCTGTTTTTGTTTGTTATTCAGTTGCAAGATTTAACTGAATTGTGAATTACTCTGCAAGTGCAACCAGCAAGTTTGGCAAATGCCAACATTTCTTGCAGATTAAGGAGAAATTATTTATATCTATGTTCTGCTTAACCCTGAGCGGCATGACCATCTTTATCTGGTCACGGGATTTGTTTTCCTTTGGCATATATTAATTTACAATTAAAAATATTTTAATTTTTTACTTTCTTTTATGATGTAAATATCATCCCAATGAATAGAAGTTTATGAAAGCAGAGATTAAAATACGTAATTCAGCAAATTTAGCTTATAAATGTGTTTAAATACATATCTTCAGGTGCAGATTCAAAAAGGCATATGACTCAGAGGGTTAAGCAATTTGAAGTTAATTACTGTGTTGTTTGTAACTGATTTTCATAATAAAATGTTAATTTCTTCCTGTGTATATTGAGTGATCCTTCAAAGAAATCAGAATAACCCTTTAGCCCACCCATAACAATATGAAATTAGCAACATGACAAACAGTGATACAAAGTTTTCAAGAAATTTCCCATCTTAAAGCAATATATACAGACTAGCTAAGGCATTGATAATGAGAAGATTGTAAATATCAACAAAAGTTGAATGCTTACCTAAAGCGGTTAAGAGCAACAATTACAGGTAATCCAAATTTATCTCCAATTTGAATATGTTTTGCTAAATTGCAAAATCCTTTTTCAACCAATGCAAGATTCTGCTCAAATAAAAGTATATAATATTAGTATATTGAAAATATAATAAATTATCTCTCTCTTTATATATATTGTTGCGTGCGTACGGGTTCGTTACGAAATGAATGCACAAGTCCGATGAAAAATGAACAAAAATTTATTATTATCACAACAAAAATGCTTAAACCTTCTCAAATTATCATGCAGTATTACAATATCTCACAGTAGTTTTCTTTTAACTACTCAAATGTCCAATAGAGCGTAATTCAAAACAGCTAAAGAACGCTAATCCGCGAATTCGCTACAATCAACAACAGTAGTTTTCTAAACAACAACAAACTAAGCAACTACTACAAACTGAGATGTTTTCCTCCTTTTATAAGATTTTAAAATCACGCGCTAGAATTTTCCAGTACTTTCTCGAAATCAAAAAGAGATATTTATTTATTTAATGCACGCTCTCTTGTATTTTCAATTTTCCGGCTTAGCTTTCTTTTAATATTCGTCACGCGCTGCACTGCGCGAGAAATAAAACCATTTAATTTATAATTGAACTAACATTAGCTTTTTAAATACCAAATTCGTAACACTGCGCCCTTCCCAAGGACTGCATGTCCCGGGCAGTACAATCCCTGGACAGGAAGCTAAACTTACAACTGTGGCATAAATGCAACTGAGGCATAAACATTACATTAGAATATCAAACAATATAAACAATAAATGCAATAACTAACTTAAACAAATCAAATGCTATCAAATACTAAATACAAAACAAATACTAAATACAAATCAAATCAAATACACATTTATAAACAAAAAGGACCATGGTCTGATACTATTTACAATTATTTACATTACGTACTATGGCCATAGTAATGAGCTAACCTGTCGTTAGAGTTCGAAGACTCACGGATCCGAACCACGACGTCATTCGTGTTCAGCACTGTATATGGACCATCCGAAGGTGACTGTAATTTAGGACTCAGTCCTTTTCGTTGAATTGGGTTCCACAACCACACCTTGTCTCCTTTGTTGGATCTCTGTCTAGTAGCTCTTGTGTCACATCTGGTCTTCATTTTCTCCGTCGCCAAGTTGACTCGCTTTCGTGCAGAACGGTGCATCCCCTCAAACCGGGCCTGGGCATCTTGGATGTGTTCCTCAGGCGATGAAGGCGCATCCGTAGGGCGACTAAACAGGCGGTCACAAGGCAGACGAAGGTCTCGACCGAAGAGCTTCTGGGATGGAGAATAGCTGGTAGTCTTGAGTTTCTTTTCGACCCTGGTATGATTTCGGCAGCTTCCCGAGCTCGATCTTTCGGACAAGGCGTCGACATTTCCAGGCGAGGATCCCTTTTGAGGATGGATAGTCATGCCTTCAGATGCTGAAAGCAGCTTATTGTTTTTGAAATCTAAGGAAAAATTGTATTTCCTTAAAAAGTCCAATCCGAGTATGCATGGATCTGTAATATCCGCCACATATGCCGTGTGATGGTAGGCGGCACTTCCAAACGTGATGTTTACGTTTAACTTCCCAGTTATGTCGATCGTCACCAGACGCAGTCTGAAGGGTAACACAGGATGGCGTCCAAATAAGTTTATCTTTAAACTGTTCAGCTAAATCTTTCCTAATGATGGTAACATTAGCTCCTGTGTCAATGATCATATTGCAAGGAACTCCATCGATATTCCCATTAATGGACAGTCCATTACTGTTGCCACTCACTGTATTAATTTTAAGCGCTTTAAAACAAGGTTTTTCATTATCTGGCAACCTCCGTTCCTCGATATGGTCACTAATTTGTTTACTGCTTCGTTGCTGGGAAATGGTCTTATTTTCCGTACCTCGGGGTGTTCTGCAGTTTTCTTCGTATGTGGCCTTCAACTCCGCAGTTCCAGCACTTTAGAATACTTTCTTTTCACTTCTGTTCCATCTCAAGCCACTGACTTGTCTGGTAAAATCATCTGCGTACCCTGGGTGTTCTGCAATTCCGTCTTAGGTGACCTTCACTACCACATCTCCAACACCTTAGAGCCACTTTCTTCTCGCTCCTACTCCGTATCAAAGCGTCGACTTGTCTGGCTAAATCATCTAAACGAGCCATCATTGATCCACTGGCTCTGGACTCGCACAGCTCTGACTGGGTGGCGGTCTCGACGAGTGGCTTGCTGGGCTGCCTCGAATTTCATGGCGTACACTAAGAGCACTTTTTAAATCTTTTACATCCGCCATTCGTAGAGCTTTCTGTATTTCAGGGATCCCGGATGCCATCGATAAAGTATTGCAGGGACAGGATTTCCCTTGTTTCTGTCGGGCACTCCGAAAAGGCGAGATGGGACAGCCTTTCAACATCCGTGGCGAGCTTCTGTTGACGGAGATTTTAATTGGAGCCTGCTGTAGTCTTTTAAACATTTCTCGCCAAAGCGCAGCTCCAATGCGCCGGATAAGAGCTTCGAAATCTAAGTCTTTGTTTTCGGGAAGCGTCTGCAGGATATCCGCTGCGTCTGCTCTCAGAGAAGCGGCGAGATGACAGGCCTTAGCTTGGGAATCCCATCCATTCGCATCCGCCAACGATAGAAAATTGTGTCTTATACACCTGCCAGGATGTCTTCCCATCATATGTGGATAGCTTCAGAGATGGACGAGCAGGCATCGGTAAGAATTTAAAACCTCAGAATTGTTTTCTGCCGTCGCTATGCAACTTCTTTGGCGCTTCGGCAGCAGAAACCCTATCATCAATTTGTTGTTCGACGGACGGCAGAAACTCTTTCTTCAATTGTTGTTGGAAGGCCGAAACTTTCCTTCTACTCGTTCTCCACAGCCGAAAACTCTTCTTCTATTTCATCTTTACAGAAGAAACCTTTTCTTCAATTTGCCCAACTTTATTTTCAACACATCTATTCTGCCTTCCATAGCATCAAATTTATTTTCTATTATGCAGGCAATTTCTCTTTTCATTTCGTCTTGACCTGCTTCAATCTTTTCTTGTACGGCTTTTATTTCTTCTTTAAAAGTTAATTGACCAGCTTGAACTTTTCTGAACGGTTCCATTTCCTTTTTAACGGATTCATCTCTCCTTTAACGGAATCCTTGGCCCAATTTCATTTCTTCTTTAAACGAGGCAAAGGCTGATATCAAGCTGCCTTAATTGCTCTTCCATCGCTCTTGTTATTGGCATTCAAATCCCACTTCTGACACCAAAAATTGTTGCGTGCGTACGGGTTCGTTATGAAATGAATGCACAAGTCCGATGAAAAATGAACAAAAATTTATTATTATCACAACAAAAATGCTTAAATTTTCTCAAATTATCATGCAGTATTACAATATCTCACAGTAGTTATCTTTTAACTACTCAAATGTCCAATAGAACGTAATTCAAAACAGCTAAAGAACGCTAATCCGCGAATTCGCTACAATCAACAAGAGCAGTTTTCTAAACAACAACAAACTAAGCAACTACTACAAACTGAGATGTTTTCCTCCTTTTATAAGATTTTAAAATCACGCGCTAGAATTTTCCAGTACTTTCTCGAAATCAAAAAGAGATATTTATTTATTTAATGCACGCGCTCTTGTATTTTCAATTTTCCGGCTTAGCTTTCTTTTAATATTCGTCACGCGCTGCACTGCGCGAGAAATAAAACCATTTAATTTATAATTGAACTAACATTAGCTTTTTAAATACCAAATTCGTAACACTGCCCCCTTCCCAAGGACTGCGTCCGGGCAGTACAATCCTGGACAGGAAGCTAAACTTACAACTGTGGCATAAATGCAAATAAGCTTACAATAATAAACAACATGAACAATAAATGCAATACATAAAACAAATCAAATGCATCAAATACACATTTAAAAACAAAAGGACCATGGTCTTATACTATTTACAATTATTTACATTATGTACTATGGCCATAGTAATGAGCTAACCTGTCGTAATGAACGACTTTAGGTTTAGAGTTCGAAGACTTACGAATCCGAACCACGACGTCATTCAGCCTGTTTAGGACTGTGTACGGCCCATCCCAAGGTGATTGTAATTTCGGACAAAGTCCTTTCCGTCGAGTCGGATTCCACAACCACACCTTGTCTCCTTCGTGGAATTGATGTTCAGTAGCTCTTGTGTCGTATCGGGTCTTCATCTTCTCCGTCGCCAAGTTGACTCGCTCTCGTGCAAAATTGTGCATCACTTCAAACCGGGCCTGGAGATCTTGAATACATTCCTCAGACGATGAAGGAGCATCCGGAGGGCGGCCAAACAATAGATCACAAGCGAGGACATTCATAAGTTACTTTGGCATTTGCATCGGTACGAATTTTCTTGCTCACTGATTTGTCTATGATTTCAATGTCTTGATTGGTGTCATTTGACTCAGGTTTTTTTAAAATGAAAGCCATGATAGAAAATATAAGATTCGGGTCCGACGGCCCCGCCCACCACGGAGCCCAACAAGGGAACACAGATTCCTCTGTTAGGGCTAGCCGGACCTATACGCAAACTGAAGCCCCACAGTCGGCTTTCCCGAAAGCAGGTACTCTCGAGAGCTTGACCCCAAGCCACTGACACAAGGACTAGTGATGACCAGCCGATTGACACCCGTTAGGACGACTAAGGTGCCTCCCGTTTAGCTGAAGCAGAGGCCAAAGCAGTGTGTTGGGGACAGTACCTCGCCCCTCAACTACCAGGACCCTCCTTTCCAGCGACACGGGTCTCCACGCACGGCAAACACGTGGGCAGTTTTCTCGCCACTCGAAAACTAGAAACAAGGTCTGTTCCAGCCTCTCGTGACGAGCCCCAAACTCCGTAGAGAGAAACCACAAGGGAGAAGGGAAGGGAAAAAGTTCCAGCCAAGAGGAGAGGAGACGGAAAAAAGGAAAGATCACTGGGGCTCCAGGATCGTGACACCCGTCTCATCAAGAAGATGATCCCCTGAAGGGCTAGGGTACATCGGGATTGCCACACCCGTACTCACAAATGTGAGCCTCCTGAGGGGAAAGAACTCTGTTAAGACAGCGAGCGCGA